TTTTTTTTTTTTTAAAGATGGCATATTCTCGGCACTGACGGTACTCCGGCAGCACGCGAACGTTGTTTCAATTGTTGCATCATTGTGTGCTGTGTGCGCGTTGTTGCAACACCACAACGCACAACTTCGACGGGCGACGTGACGTGACGTGACAGACGTACGGACGGCATCCTATATACTCGGTGACTTGGTGGTGACTGATGGTGACTTGGTTGATTGGGAAGTTAGTGGGCAGGCAGGCATATATATATTTTTTTTGTTCAGTTTTGTTCGATTGGCGACGATTGCGAGATTGACAATTTTGCTTTTTTTCGCGTACGAATACGCTTTTTCACGGTGGCTGTAGTAGTGGTAGTAGAAGAAGTAGCAGTAGTAGTAGTGGCGGGGAGACGAGCAGAGCTAGGAGCTGACGCTGGTAGAATCTGCAAACGTCAGTTTTAGCAATATAATAATCAACGTTATCATACTCCTGGCCACTATATCGGGTATTTTCCTCTTTTTTTTTTTTTTTTACTTTTATCACTTTAAGAAAAAAAGAGCTTTACGAATCGAAAATGAAATTGCATAAACATGCTCGCCTTTCGCCGTTATCACTGATTAAGTTTTGTATTCTCCTTTGTCCTAGACTGCCCACTCGAATGCATACGAAAAAAAAAAAAAAAAAAGAGAGAGGACTTCTCTGTGCTTCGTGCTCATCGACTCGGATCTATATGTGATGGATCTATATCGCTCCGGTATATAAGTTCTCGCCGCGACGCACCGAGCATATGCTGATTTATCAAGTATAACTGCAATTTTGACAAAATAAACAATTAATGAAAATTTGAATTTGAAAATTCTTCTAAAAATCTAAGATCAATCATTATACTTAAATTATAATTCCCTACTCTATTTATACTACGGTACGTGCACGACGAGAAGTGACAGACACAAAGTGTTTGTCTTATTCGACTAACATCTCTCGGTATCAGAAATCTTAAGAACAGTTAACAATTGCAAAAATATAAAATTTTAAAATAATTACTGTCCAATAAAATCAAAGCAATTAAAAAAAATCGATATATATATATTATCTTCTTATAATTGCAAAGAAATATTATTAATTAATGAAAAATATCAGATACCAAGCAATCATTCAGAAATTAATTCAAGAATTGATATATGAGACGTATTATTTTGCATTAGTATTATTAAGAAAATATTATTAATTGGTTATTATTACTAGGTAATAATTTTTAATCTTTCCACAATCTTAATTCCTTTATCATGGTATCTTTCATTATGTATCATTGAAAGTAATTAAAAGCAAATGCAATTTTATAAAACTGTCACTTTAGACTTGAGATATCGAAAAGATCCTTCCTTTTGAAGCATTTAACATTTATAATCAATAATGATGATACGGCAAATTTACGAAATGCAGAACTCTGCAAGTGCAAAGTGTATCTCTATTTCTCTCGAAGATATCACGCGCGTTGACATCATGCGTTCTAGAATTCTCTCGATCTCGACTCTCCCTATGCTATGTCTATTACATTATTATTATCCTCCTCGTTTTCATTTACTATCGCATAATTTGTTCACAGTCCTATTTTATCTATTCAACATAGTTTGATCAACTCGATTGTTGATCAAACTACTTATTTTTATCTTCGAGTGTCTACGATCAACTACCTCCCTCATCCAACAAATGATTCTTTCAATTATTTTGAATTAAAAGAGAGAACGATGATGAAATTAATTATTTAGCGGAACCAATTTTCAGAAATTTTATTAAGTTGTATATATGAAATATAAACGCTATTTTTTTCATGATCAATAATTTAATTCATTTATTAATTCGTTTCAACATCGTACTCCAAATTATGCCTCTAAATATTTTTACTAATTATAGTAACTACATATATATTTAATGATAGAGATAACAGCGTAGAATATTGTACATACATGCGTAAGCTACGACAAATATAAACTCGCGAAATGTGTATACTTACAGATTATTATCCGATTTCTTTTGCCAGATCCATCATGTAGATTCTGAAAACTTGCATGAAGTGAGATACAAAAAATAGTTAAATAGCAAGAAGAATCAATTACCTGGAGTAGCGATTACTCGACGATCTCTGCGGGCTTCTAGACCAAAATCTATAAAAGATTAAAAAGATATATGCGTGTTTACCAAGTGTTTTGCTGATGATGGTCTCACGTATTGAATTAAAAAAAAATTTTTTTTTAATAGTACCTGAAAACTGATTAACAGCAAGTACAAAAAAGAGATAAAAACCTCGGGTTAAAAAAGATAAAACCTAGATTATTACCTCGAATAACAATCTAGGATTTCCTATAGAGGCTGCATGACCTGGACTTAAAAATTTGTAAAAAAAAAAAAAAGTAAATCCAATTCGTTGCTAAAGCATACACCTAAGACATTGAGAAAGAGAAAAAAAATGGAAGTGATAGAAAAACATAAAAAAGCTAAATGATAATCAAAAATAGAAATCATTATCTCGACTTTCATCATGCTAAGATAAAAGTGTATATCTTGTAAAAAATTGATTAGCGTACTGTGATAAAAAATATTCGCTTTTATGTATAATATATACGTATAATTAATTTACAAATACATTAATAAAAAAAATTATTGTAATTTATAAGTAATTGCAAGATAAATTTTCAACTAGAAATTTAGATACCTAATATTTAGATTATTTAGTTAAATTCATAAAAGGAAGTAAAAATATATCACCATATATTTTTCTATTGTGATTCTAAAAACAGATTTAAAGCAAGAACTTTGTTCCAATGAGTGTATTAAGTTATTTAAACTTTGACATTTTGATTTTTTATGGAAACAAAATCATTTTGCAGAAATAAAAGAGTACTTGCTGATATTTAATATTATAATTGTAAATGAAATTAATATTATTTGTGTTTAATATATTTAATGAATTCTTAAAAATGAAATAATTAGAAATTTGATTTAGGCTCTCAATATCTTGTATACTTAGTACACTGGAACAATAAATCCTAGTTCCCAATATCTCTCTGTCCACACAAACATGCAGTGTACATTTAGCCATGCTCTGATTAATTCCCAGTGTTGACCTTCAACCATACTCATGCATACTTAACAGTCTAATCCTGATATATTTCTACATAATGCAATGCATATTTGAATGGGAATTATTGACTATTTTGAACTGCGAACTCACGATCATAAACGAGGAGGAAGATTAACCAGACATGACATTCAAAACAGAAAAAGAGGAAGAAAAAACAAACACGATGTATAAATATATAATACTAAATATGTTTATCGGCATTCCTATACACAGAGACATAAGAAAGGAAAAAATATCGAATATCATGGTAGTGATAATGTGCATAAAAATATTCTTTGGAAAAAAAAAACCCGTGCTTTGAAACGTTTTCCTTGATAAAAGCGCGGTCCTATTAAGATAAGAAAGAGATGTTCATCTCCATCATGAATACTTATGTTGTCAAGGGCACCTAGTCAGTTTCTGTCGCAGCTTTAACACTTTTCTCGCTGTAAAACTCGCGGATGCTACAAAACAGCGCAAGTTTTCTTACCTGGAATATCTAGGACCGGGTCTGCGACCACCACCGCCTCGTCGACTTCTCCCAGATGACATTTCTACTCGCACTCTGGTGCCACACAAGTGTCTGAAAAAATATATATATTTAATATACTTAATATTTTCATTCATCAATATATTTAATATACTTAATATTTCATTCATCTAAACTTTTTGAACAATAAATAATTACACAATTTATCCTACTGTACTGTAATCTTGCTTGTCTTAGTACTAGTATATTTTATTACAGTTCATGATTTATATATAATTATTAAAAAATTGATTTATTATTTTAAAAATTACTAATTATTTAAACTTACATTCCATCGAGTCCTCTCACTGCATCTTCAGCATCTCGTGGATCCTCAAATTCCACAAATGCAAAACCAGGTGGATTTCTGGCTACCCATACATTTCTCAGTGGACCATACTTACTGAACTTACCCTCTATTTCGTGTTTGCTTGCACTACTGCCCAGATTACAACATATACCTTACAGGACAGATCCCATTCACGATAGCGCGACATTTTCTACCTGCAAATTTATTATCAAGTACAACATAATCTAAAAACTCATAACATAATATATAATATGTATGTACAATATATACAAATACAATATAAGATTATATATTAATTTTCTTTGACACAGAGTTATAATTAACTTTTGGTAAAATTAGACGAACGTGTAACATTATATGCAGAATGAAAGAACTGAAAACTTTCAATTTGCTTGAAAATATTTAACAACAAGGTTTTTATTTATTATATTATTATAAATAAAACAAAGTAATAATTTATCTTTAAGTATAGGAATACCAAAAAAATAATGATTCATAATGTGATACGAATATTTTCATTAATATGTAATTAAAATAAGACAAGTCATTCCATACTAATATATGCATTTATGTAATTCCCAACTTTATTCTCCAACACGCCCAAGCTCATTAAAATGCAATCAGAATAATTAAAGTATTTCGTTAATAAATAACGAATACTCCGTTCTATTGCACAGATCAACAAGCGCGATGTCATAGAAAAATTCTGAAGATAAGAAGAATTCTACTATTTCGTTCAATCAATCGAAAGCCGCGCAATCGCCCTAAAATTCATTAATTATTATTGAGATTGGGAATTATAACGTCATGTCGCTTAGTTACGTTGTCGAATCTTCATTTTATCCGCTCTAAACCTTCTTTGAAAAATTATTCTTTCACGAATATACATGTGACGTTTTAATTTCAACATTATTAAAGTATTAAAAAAAAATAAAAAATAAATTCTTCTTTCTGAACGGTAACTTTTTTCCAATATTTTGATTGATCAGTCGAAAATGGCGTACCTTGCCGAACGACGCCTCGAGAACTTGAGGCTCTCTTTTCTTTGCACCGGCAACTTTTCCCTGAACGTCAAACGGACGAATATAACCTAAAAGTATCTTCGAGAATGGTAATCTGATAAATACCTTCGTAAGAGTCGCTGTTTATCAAATCAGCGCAAATTATTGAGGTGTCTACCTCTCGGACCAAACTAGTGCGTAGAATGCCACAAAACGCCACAAAACCACACAAAACAAAATGGCGTGTCAAGCGAGACATCCAACCTATCTAACCCCCACCTTAATCGTCCTCTCTCACTCGACGGCCATAGACGAATAAAAATAAATAGACTAGAAACTGTAATTGAAAGCGAGATTTATCAAAATGCGATCCTGCCGAGATCTTCGAACACACCTCAAAAATTTGATGCGAACACTATTTGATAACAAATTATTCTTACTTAATTTTTTTAAACTAATTATGACAAAATAAATTTAAATCATGATTTCTTATTGCTTTTATATATATATATATATATATATATAAAACTTTTACTTGATCATTCTGTAATGTATCTAAAAGAAAAAGATATTATATCTTTGACAACTTTATATATAAAGTTATATATAAAATTCAATTTTCTAATATGACAATTCCGAACAATAAAAAATTCATCTATTTTATATTCTGCAGTATTTTCAAAATACTTATATAATTTATATAATTGCAAAAAGAAATATATATATATGTCCTTCCTCTAAAGTTTAAAGTATTTTAAAATATTGCAGAGAGAATACAAAATAATTGAATTTTTCATTGTACAGAATTTTGTTATATATTAGGAAAATAAATTTGCATAATTTCTTGAATCTGTTACACAAGAAAAAATGTATATATATATAAACATATAGAAGCATCAATTATTCATTGGTATACTAATTATGTATATTATATTTAATTGCTAATAAAGTTAAATAAAAATGATGTTCATAATATACAAAAAAGCTACTACAAATGCATTACAATTTTTGCATTTGTGTCATACCTTAAATAATTCAAAAATAAAATAAATACAAAATTATTAATACGTGAAAAATAAATTTGTTCTCTCTTTTTTCATCATTATAATCGACCCCAAAAATAATCACGATTTTTACAAAAGTAGTGATCACATTTTATTTCATAAATTTATCGACGTACTTCGGCGCATTTAATTATTCACTCAAATAACACAATCAATCAGATGTACGTAATTGTTTGTAACGTGCATAGATATATAAGAGTAGATGTGCCACAAAAGATGTGTATTAGTATAATTCATTTGCGTATTTATAAGCTACGTATAGTATATATGATAGTACAACTTAAAAGAATACAATTCATATTCTAAAAGATGTGAAAAAACTGTGAAGTTACCAGATGATAATTAAAAAATGGTAGTAATTTAATCAACGTTTGGTTGTTTGGTTGCAAAAAATTGGTTAATTAAATTACTACCATTTTTTCATATTCTAAACTTGCATAATTCACATTTTTTTTATCATCGTCATTTATAGTCTCGAACGTGAGCATATGTGTCTGTGTATATATGGAAAATTAACAAATTGTATGTATATACAAAATTGCCTCTCACTCTATCTCTTGTTGCTCTCTTATCTTCTGTTCAGCACGTAAAATCGGTCGATTCCTTTCTTTGCCCCGTTTTAGCATCTAACTGTAATTAGAGAATACAAAGCTTAGAAAAAGATTTGTTTCCCTTTTTTTCTCTTTTCGCTCTTATCGCAAGAGAGGACATCGCTGGTTTCACAATAAATAAATTTTTATTAGAAAAATACAGAATTCTTGCCATGTCGCAAAATGACAAAATATTTTTTTATTTAGCCTATCATGTCAATTTCAAAGTTTTGGTCCCCTCAGAAAATACATTTGAGCATTGCTTTTCTGTTTACTGATACTGTATTTTTTTCTTCGTTTTTCCCTTTTATTTTTCAGGATCATTTTTCCTCTATTTCTTTATTAGTGGGATGAATATAATTAATATACCGTCTGTCGCGGGAATCCGAACGTGAACGACGATCTCGGCTGCGACTGCGAGTCAATGATCTCCTGCGAGGGCTGCGAGATCTCGACCTAAAAAAATTAGATAATTTAGGTATCTTGAAAAGAGAAACAGATGAGATTTATATTAAAACCCGCTTCTCCGCCCCATTACATTTATTACATCACTACTATAAAAATATTAAGTACTTATATATCATAGAAATATATTAATATCAAAAGCTTATGCATTTAACGCTAATTATAAAGCAATTGACATTTGTCAAATTATAATGTATTCTTTGTGCGAAAAATGGGGCGAAGTGGCGTGATAAAACACAAATATAAACAAAATTATCGCAAGACAACTGTAAAAGAATTAAGATTATCTAATTTCTAGATTGCCTATATATATATATATGTTAATATATATATATATATTAACAGTGATATATAGAAATTATATAGGTAGAGTAATAATAAATATATAAAATACTCAATTAAATTGAATGTGAAATCAAAGAAAGTAGATGATTACTTTTAGTGATCAAGTTAATCTTTCGTCAAATAAATGCTATATCTCAAAGACAAGATAAATATGTATCGCTCTATAGTAAATATGTTGATAAAAATTCTCCGATTCTAAGATTCAATTATATATTTATATGAAAGAATTTATATAAAAGAAATCTATTAAGAATTCAAAGGCTTCATTTATCCAGTCTCAATGCAACATTAATTCTTTATCAAATCAAGCAGAATTCCTTGCTGAAATAACAATAAATCTAAAAGAATAATATAAATGCATATAATTGTGAAAAGAAAAAACAAACAAAAACAGAGAAAATAGAAATAGAGATAAAAAATCTTTGAAAATCGGTGAAGTACCAGACAACTGTGAAATGTAGTAGTAGTGGTTGGTTGGTGGGTGGTGATGGGGTGGTGTATAGTAGGTGATCATTTCGCTTTTTGCGAGTTCGTTCTCAAAGAGTCGAAGGTCGAGAAGATTTCTCGGCAGCAATTTTCACACGCTTATAGTTGTCATCGTCGCTAAACATATGTCCCTAAGTGATGGTCGACGAGTAGGAGCAGTAGCAGTAGCGATAATACTAGTAGCAGTGGTGGAATAGAAACGTCGGTATCGAAATGACGTACAGTCGAGAAGACAGTCCTTCGCAGTCGAATGAAGAGACGCGCCGGTGGATAGAATTACTAAAAAAATCTTTTTTTTGGTATCGCGATTAACTCGATGCGTATTACCGTTCCCCCAGGCTAAAGTTGAGACGAAGACTCGAAGAAGGTGGATCACAACAACATCTGGCGATCAGTTGGTGATGGAAGAATAGTAGTAATAGTAGTGGTTATCGAATGGGAAAGTCTCGTAGTAGAACGATGAACGGTTTTGTTTCGGTTTCAGGACGGTTTGTTTTAGCGATGTAACGATGTCGAACGGGGTGACAGCAACAAAAGATGGCATTCTCGGTTTTGGCGGCACTCCGGCAGCACGCATACAGGTTGTTTCGCTGTTGTGTACTATGTGCGTATCGCAACATCGCAGAACATCGACGGACGACGTGACGTGACATACGACGTACGGACGGCTTCCTATACTTGGTGACTTGGTGGTGACTGATGGTGACTTGGTTGGGAAGTTAGTGGGCAGGCAGGCAGGCATATATATTTTATGTTCAGTTTTGTTCGATTGGCGACGATTGCAAGATTGGTAATTTTGCTTTTTTTCGCGTATGAATACGCTTTTTCACGGTGGCTGTAGTAGTAGTAGTAGAAGTAGTAGTAGTAGTAGTAGTAGTGGCGGGGAGACGAGCAGAGCTAGGAGCTGACGCTGGTAGAATCTGCAAACGTCAGTTTTAGCAATATAATCAACGTTATCATATTCCTGGCCACTATATCGGATATTTTCCTCTTAATTTTTTTTGTTTTTCATACTTTTATCACTTTGAAAAAAAAAGAACTTTACGAATTGAAAATAAAATTGCATACACATGCTCGCCTTTTGCCCTTATCACCGACTGATTTTGTATTCTCCTTTATCTTAGACTGCCCACTCGAATGCATACGAAAAAAAGAAGAGGACCTCTGTGCTTTATGCTCATTGATTCTATATCATCATTTACGGTATACACTACATTTTCATTGCAAACAATCACAAAAAAATCGCAAAATGTAAAACTTTAAGATATTTACTGTTAAAATAAAATTAAAATACTTGAGAAACTTTCTGTATATATTATCTTCTTATACTAATTGGTATAAAATATTATTAATCAGTAAAAAAATATCAAACATGAAGCAATCATTCAGAAATCAATTCAAGAATTGATATAGAACATATTATTTTACATTAAACTGTCAATAAGAAAATATTATTATGCGATTGAAAGAATATTTAAAGAATAAAATCGATGACAATTTACAATAATTTAGACAAGATTTTACAAATTCAATTCTGCTTTTTTCTAAGCTATAACACCTCATGTGTGTTTGAAAGTTTCGATTCTAATCTCCTATTTTCTGTTTTATTTTATTAAATTATTTTCAAATTTCCTTCATTGTTATCTATTATTACACAATTTATTCCTGTCCTTTTCCTGTACTCGATTATTTAATTAAGCACTAATTGTTTTTCAAATTTATCATCTTTCGAATGTATACAATTTATCCCACACAATTGATCATCATCTTAAAGTTTCATCATCTCTCAAAGTTTCGATCGCTTAAAAGAACGATGATAAAATTAATTAGCGAGAATCAATTTTCATAAAAATGTTAAAGTAGATATAATGTAAACTTTTTTTCATGATTATTGATTAATTCGCTCATTAATTCGTTTTCAACATCGTCTTTCAGATGTTTCTTGAAATGATTTAGCGATTGTATAATAACTATCTGTATCTATCTTAAGTGATATAGATAACGCACACATGCAATATATATTTAAACATGCTATGATGAATACAAGCTCTTGAAATATCTATACCTACTGATTGTTATCTGGTTTATCATCAGATCCATCACGTAGATTCTGAAAATTTTTACGAAGCGAGGTAATACGAAAAATAGCTAAGCAGCGTGAAAAAAGAATCAATTACCTAGAGTAACGGCATTCTACGCGAGCTTCTCAACATAGATCTATAAAAAATTCAAAAGAACTAAATGTACGCGTCTGCCAAGTAATTTGGCGGTAATGGCCTCACGTATTGAGTTTTTATTTGTCTTACGAGAAGAATACCCCAACTGCCAACCGAGTTTTTTAATGAGCTTTGGTGTGGTGGTAGATTAGGAAAATATAAGATTACGCCTCCAATATTAGCCGTAGATACGCAGCCGTTTTCGAGAATGTGAGAGTTGAAATTAGGCGAGCACGTTATCTACCTTAAATTTAAAGATTCAATCGTAGCATTTCGTCAGCCGCGCAACGAACGCACTGGACTCACAGTCCAAAGATCATGCGTTCGAGCCTTGGCACTGTCAAACGTGTTATTTTACTTACAAATACAATTTCAAACATTTTATATTGTGACCTCGACTATTAACATTTTGTTTTTAAAAGTGACAACAAATAAAATATAAGGTCAGATTCTATCTTGAAACAAATGATAGAGACGACCGTTTAAACCTAAAGATCAACCGTTTTTCAGGTATAATATATTATTATTAATAAGTAAAATAAATTGGCGTTTAGAGAGAGAGAAAGGAAAAAAAAGAAAAGAAAAAAAAGAAAAACTGCCGAGGCTCGAACGCATGATCTTTGGACTGTGAGTCCAGTGCGTTCGTTGCGCGGCTGACGAAATGCTACGATTGAATCTTTAAATTTAAGGTAGATAACGTGCTCGCCTAATTTCAACCCTCACATTCTCGAAAACGGCTGCGTATCTACGACTAATATTGGAGGCGTAATCTTATATTTTCCTAATCTACCACCACACCAAAGCTCATTAAAAAAAAAACTCGGTTGGCAGTTGGGGTATTCTCCTCGTTAGTAGTTCCTAAAAACTGTGATCAATTTTAACATTAAGGAAGATAGAAAGAAAAGATAGAAATAGAAGAAAAAAAGCAAGGTGGATCTTTTGCAACAGGATGACGGGAGACTAGGAGAAGCAAGAAAATCTTACCTCGGATAATGATCCAGAGATCTCCTGCGAGGGCTACACGATAGGGACCTACACATTTGTTTAAAAAAACAGAGAAATATATATCATACAGAAATCAGATTGTTTGCTAAAGCATATTTACATGAGGGCATTACAATGGGTAAAAAAGAAATAATGAAAGGAACAGATAGAAAAATAGGCGCTAAGTGATAACCCAAAACAGAGATCGATTATATCCAAGTTTTCCGTCGTAGTAAGATAAAAGACTATAAGAGATCTTTTAAAAACGAATAATCCTATTGAGATAATATTATATATAATTAATATATACACATTAAAATTTTATTATAGGTGACTAGCAGTATGGAAAGTTAGTAGAAAAGTTGTTAGATTGAAATGATTCAACTGAGTAATTTAGAACAATAATTTAATTAAATTTTTAAGTGAAAATTTATGCCTCTGTATATTTTTAAAATAGATTTAAAGTTTGAACTTTATTTCATTATGAGTGGCTTAAGTTAAATAGAAATTATACTATTAACATTTAATTTCTTTAAATTGTGAGAACAAGATATATTTACCATAGACATAGAGTAAGAATAGACCAAGCGTGTCCTCTTGTAAGAAATGAAGCTCAGGTAGAAAAGAACAGAATGTATAAGATAGAAAAGGATAGGAATCTCTAATAAGTGAAGAAGGAAAGAGTGAGAGAGAAAAGGGGCGGCATCTACTCTCCTATCCCTTATCCTCTTCTATTTGATCCTTTTCTACCTGAGCTTTCGATTTGGCGCCTGACGTTCAGTCTATTCTTACTATGTCTATTATATTTACTGACATATAATATTATAATTATAAACAAAATTAAAATTTGTATTTAATACATTTCATAAATCATTGAAAATAATTAGGAATCCAAATTTTTCAGTGTCTTTTATTTTAGTACGTAGGAATTAAGTCTTAATATTTTAACATATTCCTGTTCATTAATTCTTCACCATTCTCATATGGACTTACCATCTAATCCAGGTATATCTCTAAGAAAATTATATCGTACGATATAATTTAAATTGGAATTATCAATCATCTCGAACTACAAATTTGTAATCACGAGCAAGGATTAGTCAGACATCAAGAGAAAAAAGAATGAAACACAATGTATAAATATATATAATGATGTTTATCAGCATTTCTACACACAGAACATGAGAAAGGAAAACTATCGAGTCTGGTAGTGATGTGCAAGAAAGAATTCTTTGAAGAAAAGAAAGAAAAAAAAGTGCATTGTTTGTTTCTCTAAGAGCACTCCTGTTTTTGAGGCAAAAGAAAGTTCTTTTCCATTAATACTTACATTGGCGAGGGATGTCAAGATGTCAGTCTTTGTCACAGTACTAACATATTTCTCACTGTAAAAATTTGCAATTGTTACAAAATACTATGGGTTTTCCTTACCTGGAATATCTAGGACCAGGTCTGCGACCACCACCGCCTCGTCGACTTCTTCCAGAGGACATTTCTACTCTCACTCTTGTACCACACAAGTGTCTGAAAGACAGAAAATAAAATACTAATACTTTAAGCTATAAAAAATTACAAATTGCACTATCTTAAATTATTTTTTATCCCTTTGGAAGGGTAAAAGTTATAAAATGTAATTATATAGTTGTATAAAACAATAATTATATATATATATATATATATATATATATATATATATATATATATATATATATATAAGCATCAATTATTTATTTGCTATATATATATATATATAGCAAATAAATAATTGATGCTTAATAATTATTCCATATTGTAGCTTTTTAAATAATAAATAATTTATTTATATAATGTAAAATAATTTATCTGTAATTTATTTTTATAATTTTATTTATCTTGATGTTTCTCATTATTACTAGTTATTAGCTTATATAAGGTCTGTTCTTCAGAGTTGAACTGGTCGCACTAGTTTTTTTTATTCCACATTGGAAAGAACTAGCACCCAGTTCAGTTATAAAGAACAGATCTCTATATATTGTAAAGATTATTCTTTTTGAACTATTACTATTATTATAAAATTGATTTTTAAACTTACACTCCATCTAGTCCTCTCACTGCATCTTCAGCATCTCGTGGGTCCTCAAATTCCACAAATGCAAAACCAGGTGGATTTCTGGCCACCCACACATTTCTCAGAGGGCCATATTTACTAAATTTACCTTCTAATTCATGTTTGCTTGCACTACTACCCAGATTGCCAACATATACCTTACAGGACAGGTCCCATTCACGATAGCGTGACATTTTCTATCTGTAAGTTACAAATTAAGTACAATACATTCAACTACAATGTAAAGGTACTATTTCACGTGCAGTATGGTGCCGCAACAATTTGTTGGTATTGATGAAGTTTAATTAAACGAACAGAAAAGGCAGCAAAGCAGAAGAACACACAACTAGTCAATTCTAATTATTATATCAGTTAAATAATAGATTTTAAGAATACAATAGATAATTATGAGAATATAAAAACAAAAATCATAATCTTAAAGTAATAAAGTAAGAACAAAAAAATATGCTCTCATAAATATTGATCATGTGATTTGCTGTGGCATGCTGCGTATAAAAGGCACCTTAAGACTGCAAGATCATAATAAATTATTAATAAAAAAAACCTTTTTTTCAACAGAAAGTTAATTTTATTTAAATTTTATTTTTGATAAAAATTAATGTGTAATATTAAATATAGAATAATAAATTCGAGATATAGTTACAAAAGCTTTTGATGTAAATATTTCTTACAGAAACAGGAAACAACTTTTTAGAGGACATGGTGGTAGTGTGGATCAATTATGCTGGCACACCTTCTATCCAGAATTATTGTCCACAGCGAGTGGAGATAAGACAGTTCGTACCTGGGATACAAGGACCCAGAAATGTACAGCGAACATCAGTACAAGAGGGGAGGAGAATATCAACATATCGTGGTCCTTAATTTTTAAAAACACGATCTACACTTTACTCCTCTCAGCCATAGAGCCACACGCAATGTTATTGCGATAATTAAGAAAGAAAATTTGGAAACTAAGGAATTTGTATCCTATGGTTGGGATCTCAGAAATTCCCCTTGTTCCTCTCTTAACTTCCCCTGTAAAGAAATAGGTGAGAAAAATGGAATTTGGAAACTAAGGAATTTTTCTCACCTATTTCTTTACAGGGGAAGTTAAGAGAGGAACAAGGGGAATTTCTGAGATCCCAACCATAGGATACAAATTCCTTAGTTTCCAAATTTTCTTTCTTAATTATCGCAATAACATTGCGTGTGGCTCTATGGCTGAGAGGAGTAAAGTGTAGATCGTGTTTTTAAAATTAAGGACTACGATATGTTGATATTCTCCTCCCCTCTTGTACTGATGTTCGCTGTACATTTCTGGGTCCTTGTATCCCAGGTACGAACTGTCTTATCTCCACTCGCTGTGGACAATAATTCTGGATAGAAGGTGTGCCAACATAATTGATCCACACTATCACCATGTCCTCTAAAAAGTTTTCTTTCCTGTTTCTGTAAGAAATCAAAAGCTTTTGTAACTATATCTTGAATTTAATAAATATAGGAGCCGACTTAATATTTTTATTATAGAATAATAAATTTTTGTAAACTTTCAACTTTTTAGTTGAAAATATTTAATAGTACAATTTATTTTATCATATTATTGTATAAATATAAATAAAATAGATATAAAGACAACATAATAATATGAATACTTTTATCACTCTTTTTATTATGCAATTATAATAATAAAGTAATAACTCGTTTTTAATATATACAATTCTAAAGCTTATGTTCCATCAGCAAAGGTGAAAGGTAAAAATGTAACTAAAATAATGAGAAAAAAAAAGACTCATTAATAATGACCATTCCAGTCCACTGTGTGCTATATTTCACAGGCACGGTAATGTGCTCTGGAGAAAGATTTTAAAAGAACTCTACCACGTTTGATCAATACAAAGCTGCATAATCGAGTCCGAATCAATTAGAATAAAAACCGTTGTATGAGCGCCATATTGTACTGTATAATCAAGAGAATCTTCGTCTTTTTTAATCTCTCCCCATCTTCGCGTTATTTAATTTTTCACAGAAATATATCGCCTTAAATTTTGTCATCTTTCATTAAAATGTTTAATCTTTCCTCACGTTTTCACGATAACAATCTTTTTTCACCGCCATTTAAAGTTATGTTGTAAGGCGTTCTCTTCGGTTTCACTGAAACGACGCCATGGTAATTTTGATTGTTTTCTCGCACCGTAAAACTTTTCTTTTGATACTAAATGCACGAACATAATCTAAAAATTGCCTCGATTGATAATCTATCAGTTAAATGATCAATACCTTAAACAATTGTAGTATTTAATAGAGGTTGGCTGTGTTAAAGTCGCCACAGGCTGCACAGGTCACAAAATCACAGATTAATAGACAGATCGCCAAAGGTATGGATGAAGGAGAGACCAGCATTTCTCACTGATTTCAGCGCCATATCGTAGTAGTGGTCAATGCAGTAACTATTAATACGTTCCCAAGATAAGAGCGTCTCAGGGTACGATTACATGGACGCGCGGAAACGCGGAAACGCGGAAGAGAAAGTAACTAAACTTTACTAGAGTCCCGCATTTCCGCGCGTTCCGTTCCGTCTGTTTTGATTGCCTTATATTACATGGAGCACATTTTGAGCGGAAAAGCGGAACGGGGAATTATAAAATATTAATATTTAACTATATTTATTGATTAAAATGCTTGTATTCAATAGATAAGTTGAAAAGATGAACATATTAAAAGGAATTACAATGAATTAAGTAAATATAAATTTAAAAAATTAATACAAATGTCTATTTGTCACTATACCGTTCCGCTGTTCCGCGGAAATTGTGCTCCATGTAATATAAGGAGAAACAAACTCGCGGAACGACCGCATCAAAATCTGTTGTCAATGAAGTGTGTACCATAAAATTTCGGAGTCGATTGAAAAAGAAAGTTTTCATACTTTGATTCTTTTAAAAGTTGCTGTGTTATATGGATCCAAACTTGATGTTGATGATTATTATAAAGTATCTCATACGATCAAGGAATGAACCGATGAGATATGCTGAGATAAGAAAAAAAGTTATTTCAATGTTTTATTTGTATTTGCGTTATAAAAAATTACAAGACAAAAAAGACCGTGCAATGTGGGTACGGCCTATTTTTATGCAGAGAAGAAGACTTCTGCAAGGTGCCAGCGACAATCTAGTTGTGGAAATGCGATTGACAGATCCGGAAAAATATTTCAATTACTTCAGAATGTCACCAACAATATTTAACGAATTACTCAATATTGTTGGTCCACTAATTGAAAAACAACATGTAGTTCGAAAACCAATACCAGCCAGAACAAGATTAGAAGTGACTCTACGATGGTTGGCATCTGGCGATAGCATGACATCGCTATCGTACGCTTTTCGCATTGCCCAATGTACGCTATCACAAATTATTCCGGAAACATGTCAAGCAATTTGGATCTCTTTACAGGAGAAAGTTATGATTGACCCGACTGAAGAAAACTGGAATACAATTGCAAGAGACTTTGAAGCAATATGCCAATTTCCAAACTGCATAGGCGCTATCGATGGAAAGCATGTCATAATTCAGGTATGTATATTACAAATAATAATATTAATTTAGGTTTAATATATTATATTAATAATGTAATGATGTATGATTTGGAATGAGTAATGTGTTCATCACAATGATGGTTTTCAATTGCAGGCACCGCCTTGTAGTGGTTCGTGCTACTACAACTATAAAGGAAATCACAGCATAAATCTGCTCGCAGTAAGTGATGCCAAGAACCGCTTCGTCATTGTTGATATTGGAGCTGAAGGAAGGCAAAGCGACGGAGGCGTTTTTGAAAACAGTGGATTACCATATATACTTGAAACAAATGCTCTTCATATCCCTCTACCAAGGCGTTTGAATGATACAGATTTGGAATTTCCGTACGTTTTGCTGGGAGATGAGGCTTTTCCTTTGAGCACATATATGATGCGACCATATCCTCGTAGTGGGCGACTAAATATTAGTAGAAAAATTTTCAATTACCGCTTGAGTCGAGCAAGGAGAACTGTTGAATGTGCTTTTGGGATTTTGGTTGCAAGATGGAGAATATATCGTCAACCTATTATTGCAAACACATCTACTGTCGTAAAAGCTGTGCAGGCAACGATTGTCTTGCATAATTTTATTATTAATAAGGAAATGGAAGTAGAACTTGCAGAAAGAAGATACAGTAATATACAAGAACATGACTTTCTGGCTACAAGTAACGGACTTAGACGTGCAAGTTATACAAATTCTTCACAAAGGTCTATAACAATGAAAATTCGAGACAACTTTACTTATTATTTTGAGCATGTCAATCCTTTATCGTGGCAATTGGACAAAGTTCTAAATAACGACTTTTGACACATTATGTATAAATTATAAGTTTTAAATATTACGTAATGACTTGAAAACTTTAAATAAAATTATGTAATAAATAGAAAAATATATTTTATTTTTACGAAGTAATACAAAACATTAAAAATTTATAATATTAAAGAAATATTTCTAATTAGCATTCTCCCTCTCTGCAAACATGGCATCCTCTTCTTCTATGGCAATATCGAGCATTTTTCTTTGTAGGTTTCTGCGTCGTATATAGGGCAATCGACGTAGTATGTCGCCAAGCTGTTCTAAATAACTGTCGACTACATCACGTTTTTTCTGCGACAATTCTTCATCAATCATGCTTAAAAATTTCTTTTCTATTTCAGTTTGCTTTTGGACATCTGTAATTAATAATATATACGTATACATGGTGAGTGTCTAAAAAAATACAAAACCAAAGGAAAATCAAAAAGACAAGATATAGGACTGTGAGCCAAGCAAGGTCTTTAATGTTAAAATGTTGAACAATAAATGTTTAATATTTTAGCATTAAGATCTTGATTAGCTCGTAGTTCCATATCTTATCTTTTTAATTTTGAAATAAACAATTGTCACTTACTGTTCTTTTTAGTCCGTGCCGAGGAACATGATGAAGTTTGTGATGTTTCTGATGGTGGGTATGCAGAATCCATTATAGAATCGTCAAAACTGTCAAAGTTATCGTCTTGCATAGTATCCATTTGCACATCATTATGAGATGAAGGCATTTCTAAAAAGTGCTGAATGGAGCTGGCAGTTCTGAAATAAAAACGATTTTAAAAATTATTAAATTCAATAGCACACAATTTGAACGTTTGTAAAATCTCAGTTAAAAACAATGTAAATTAATACTTACGGAGCTATCTTTTCAATATTGTCGAGAAATCTCATTTGTTCATAATGGTAGAAAGAACTTTTTAATGGATGACCTGATTCCGCCCCCGATCCACTTCGTATATATCCTCGCATTTTCTTCTTAGCTTTCATATATGAATCTCGAAGGTGTTTCCATCTTTGTTTTACTGTTTCTAAAGTGAGGGATTCTACAATTTACAGAGAATCAGTTATCATTTATTTTTTCACGTGGATAAAATATTTCATATAAGTAATTAAATAAAAAATGATCTTACCACCAAATGCGTTTACAATCTCTTGCCACAGATTATTTTTTTTTAACTTCGTTCTTTCGCTAGTTGGAATGGAATGATCCCATAAAGCTCTTCGAACACGAACCAACTCAATCAGCAATTCATTTTGTGTGAGAGTGTGCGTAGAGTGTGTGGACACACGCTGTTCAGCTCCAGCCTTTGAATGCTGTACAACTTCAGTTTCAAGTCTCTTCCCTTTAAAATAAATACGCAATGACTCAAGTTACTGTGAAATGTCTTAATTGGCCAATATGTTGGATCAGTGAGACATTTATATTTTTTACGACCTTTCAATGCTTGATGCGCACCTTTAACAGTTCCTTGTATTTTTAAGTCATATAACACTATCTCTCATGTATAAAAATATATATTATTAAAACTAGAAATTGTTAATGTGTAATTGCTATTAATAATAGCAAGTGTATCAATAATAGCAAGCACTGAAACGTCAATATCATCAAGCATTATTTTTAACGTACTCATAGTGACGATGGCATTTTCGTCAACACTTATAATGTCAGTATCTTCATTGTATGCGGCAAAGCAATCATGATCCAAAATTATTCCACACGACCCTCGCAAAATGAAACCACAGTAGCCGCACTTTGTTGCCTGCGAATAAATACAATTGTTCAATTATCTTTATTTCAAATAAAGTGAGGTTATGATTTCGTTCAGTAGGTGTTATATCACATATAATTTTGAAAAGTATAGAAATTACAGAAATCTTTCTGCAAAAATAACAGAACTCTTATTATTCACTACCTACTGAAAATTATTTAAATACTTACAGGATTATCCATTGGAAACTCGTCCGGCAAAGCGATCTCGCGACTCATATATAAGAATGTATTGTAAGAAATCGAGATTATTAAAAGAAGAATTTAATTACGGATGACCGTTAAAAGTTTCAACTGTTCTTAGAAAGCGCGGAAAGTACGAAGGTTCGAGAAAGGTGTTTGAAAGTCACTCAACAAAATATTCACTTGAAGACAAAGACTGTTATTTATTACGAAAGACTCCCGTATACAAAATCAACTATCTTTTTCGGTGTACTGCTCGAAGGAGAGTCCCGGGCCTTTCCGCTCGCTAGCTTAAATACCCTTTTGACTCTCCCGCGCGCGCCGCTTTAGTTTGCGCCCTATACGCTTATCGCCGAGGGCAGCAGTTATCGGGGACAGCTGTCGTATCGGCGCGTGCGCAATCAGCCGATCGGTGGCGATTGCTTTCAGTATAAGAAAACAACGGATTCCGCTTTTCCGCTTAAACACGCGAGAAGAAACGACGGAAACGCGGAATCTAGTTACTTTCTCTTCCGCGTTTCCGCGTTTCCGCGCGTTCCGTTCCGTCTGTTTTGATTGCCTTATATTACATGGACACAGATTAATAGACAGATCGCCAAAGGCCTGCCTAAAGAAGAGACCGCCATCTTCGTGCGATAGACTTTGCCCCTTACCGACACACTTTGCCCCTGGTTCGAGTCCGTGCTAAATTCGTAGACTTGAACCAAAAGACTTTGCCCCTGGTTCGAGTCCGTGCTAAATTTCGTAGACTCGACCAAAAGACTTTGCCCCTGGTGCAAGTCCAGGCTAAATTCGTTTGACATTACCAACAGACTTTGCCCCTGGTGCGAATCCAGGCTAATTGATCATGAGACCAATTTGAGAGATTTGGCCCCCGTGTGTGTGTGTGTGTGTGTGTGTGTGTGTGAGAGAGAGAGAGAGAGAGAGAGAGAGAGAGAGAGAGAGAATATTTTACATATATGCATATATATATAAAATTTATTAAATATAAAAAATATATTTTTTACACATAAAATGTTTTTTTATTGAAATAATCACGATTTTAAATGTGATATAACACAGTGTTCAAAAATTTTTTAATTAAATTTTTAATTAAATTTTATTAAAGAAAATTACTTGAAATTTTTTACATTAAGAATTTAAAGGCTCCTTATTCTCTTGTAGAAATTTATCACTACGCCAATTAATCACTTATTTTGAGTATTTAAAATACTATAATATACAGTAATTTAAGTATTCGAAATAAAAGTGATTAATTACTCGAAATAAGTGATAAATTGGCGTTACTAGTAATAAATTTCTATAAGGGTTGAAATAAAGTATAAGAGATAAATAGGCTATATGTGAGCCGTATGCGAAATGTGAGATGTAAGACGCATATTGAAATTTAATTTTTCGATATAACTTTCAAAAATGTACACGAGGTACAAAAAATTAGCTTGGACATTTGTAAGACTTAAAATTGGGATTAATTCTCAATTCTATTAATTAAATTTCGATATAACACACCTTACATCCGCGCACGGCTCACATATATATAGCCCATTTATTAGTGCAATTTTTAAGTTCCTTATTTTTCAAAGTTCACCTTTTTACGTTATCAAATATTTTTACGTTTTCAAGAATTTTATATTTTTACTTACCGCAGTTTCTTATCCAAATGTAAAATCTTTTATCGCAGTCTATAAAAAATTGAAACAATTTACAATTTTATGATATAATATTATTATTATTACAATTTCTATATATATGCACATCTGTCAAATATCGTGATTTATTTCACATTATTATTATCTATTTTAATAAAAAAAAACAAAAACACTTGCAACAATCAAAAATAAACCGCCTGCCGCGAACGGAAAATGCCAAGAAAGCACGCAATTTCCGCGAATCTCGTAATTTTTTTGAAAAATCAACAATTTCAACGAAATTGTAAATTCTTCAAATCACTGCACAAGTATAATTCACAATAATAATTTTCAGTAACTACGATAAAAAATCGTATACTGAAAACCGCAAACGAAAGTGCAATGGGAGTAAGAGTAAAGTCTGTGATAAAATTAATTGGCAATAGAAAATTAATAATTTTCAAATAGAAAAATTTTGAAATTACCGAGGATTTACAAATAATAAAGTAAAAATATTAAATAATTTATGTTTTCGAATTTTGCTCGCGGAGAGGATCTTTAAAACAAGATTTTTAGAAGAGAGGACCTTTAAAATATAAACAGGCAAAAACGTTGGAAAAATTAAAGCGCGCGTTTAAACAGATAAACGCAATGAAATAAATACGCAATTGTTTTTACTTATCGCTGTAAGCTCACAAGCTTCTGACGTGCTATACACTTTTATATAATATATACAAGGTGTCCGGTAACTAACGGACCAATGATTAAGGGCGGATTCTCTGGCCAATTTGGAGACGATTTTTCCTTAGCAAAAATGTTGAGAAGTCAATAATTTTCGAGTTATAAGCGATTGAAAAAAATAGGTTTTTTGAAAACTAAACGTTTTGGAGTTAAAAGTCTAACATAATTACATTCTTCAGTTAATTTCAGGTAGAGTTTACTATAATAAAATTTTAATTTAAGGCTTAGTTATAAAGATACATAATGACAAAGATTGGAAAGTTGTAAAAAATGATGACCTTTTTCGACATTTTCGCTGAGGAAAAATCGTTCCCAAATTGACCAAAGAATCCATTTGTAATCATTGGTCTGTTAGTTACCGGACACCCTGTATATTGGACACGAGTTTCGTTTGTTTCAGATTCTCGAGAGTTGAAGTAGGAACATACGAGTATCATATATCGTTTGTGACTTGCCGAATGAAAGCAAGACAGAGAGCGAACGAGATGATGAGCTTAATAGCTCATAATGTTATAAATAAATAAATAAAAAATTATAACCTGACCTACTAGTTATTGAATCTTTTTTTAATAAAATGTTTCATTATTATTATCATCTAAGTCTAAGTCGTTTAATTACTTTTTAGTTTTTTAATAATTAATTTAATTTATTCTAGTCATTTTTATATGAGAAAAATAATATCACGTATACGTTTTATAATGAATTAATATATTTCGGGAATCGAATTATATATTCTTAATAATATAAAAGTGTTCAAAAATTATATTTGACTTTTAATTTTAATTATTTTATAGCAAAGAGTTCCGAAATCTCTTACACACATAATGGGGATTTTTTTCATCCATATAATTCGCAATTAAGTATATATGTTAATTATTAATTTTAATAAAATAAAAATTAAAATTAAAGGTCAAATATAATTTTTAAACACAAATATATTAAATTAATTATAAAACGTATACCCATGATAGTATTTTTCTCGTACAAAAATAATTAGAGTAAATTAAATTAATCATAAAAGATTAAAAATTAATTAAAGAATTTAAACTTATATTTTATATAATAATAATAAAACATTTTATTACGTCAAACCGTCGTGAAATAATTAAATAAAATTTGCTAGTTACGTCAAAGTCAAGTTTTCTAAGCTTATAAAACATTTTATTAAAAAACAGATTCAATAAATATAAGTACATGTATATATATATTTATTGAATCTGTTTTTTTTATAAAATGTTTTATTATTATCATATATAATATAAATTATTTAATTATTTTTTAATTTTTTTATGAGTAATTTAATTTGTTCTAGTTATTTTTGTACGAGAAAAATACTATCACGGGTATACGTTTTATAACGAATTAAATATATTTATGTTCAAAAATTATATTTGACCTTTAATTTTAATTTTGTATTTTATTAAAATTAATAATTAACATATATACTTAATTGCGAATTATATGGATGAACAAAATCTCTATTATGTGTGTAAGAGATTTCGGAACTCTTTGCTAAAATAATTAAAATTAAAAGTCAAATATAATTTTTGAACACTTTTATATTATTAAAAATATATAATTCGACTCTCGAAATATATTAATTCATTATAAAACGTATACGTATTAGTATTTTTTCACATATTAAAATGATTAGAATAAATTAAATTAATTATTAAAAAACTAAAAATTAATTAAACGACTTAGACTTAGATGATAATAATAATGAAACATTTATTAAAAAATAATTATAATAGGTCAGGTTAATATTTTATTTATTTATTTATTTATAACATCATAAAATTCTGTCCTTTCCGAAATACGCGAACGCTACGAAAAGATAAATCTCGTACATGCCGCCGGACGAGTTCATGAGCATGAGACGCTCTTATCTTGGGAACGTATTAATAGTTACTGCATTGACCGCTACTACGATATGGCGCTGAAATCAGTGAGAAATGCTGGTCTCTCCTTCATCCAGACCTTTGGCGATCTGTCTATTAATCTGTGACATGGAGCACATTTTGAGCGGAAAAGCGGAACGGGGAATTATAAAATATTAATATTTAACTATATTTATTGATTAAAATGCTTGTATTCAATAGATAAGTTGAAAAGATGAACATATTAAAAGGAATTACAATGAATTAAGTAAATATAAATTTAAAAAATTAATACAAATGTCTATTTGTCACTATACCGTTCCGCTTTTCCGCTCAAAATGTGCTCCATGTAATATAAGGCAATCAAAACAGACGGAACGGAACGCGCGGAAATGCGGGACTCTAGTAAAGTTTAGTTACTTTCTCTTCCGCGTTTCCGCGTTTCCGCGCGTCCATGTAATCGCACCCTCATGCTCATGAACTCGTCCGGCGGCATGTACGAGATTTATCTTTTCGTAGCGTTCGCGTATTTCGGAAAGGACAGAATTTTATGATGTTATAAATAAATAAATAAATAAAATATTAACCTGACCTATTATAATTATTTTTTAATAAATGTTTCATTATTATTATCATCTAAGTCTAAGTCGTTTAATTAATTTTTAGTTTTTTAATAATTAATTTAATTTATTCTAATCATTTTAATATGTGAAAAATACTAATACGTATACGTTTTATAATGAATTAATATATTTCGAGAGTCGAATATATTTTTAATAATATAAAAGTGTTCAAAAATTATATTTGACTTTTAATTTTAATTATTTTAGCAAAGAGTTCCGAAATCTCTTACACACATAATAGGGATTTTGTTCATCCATATAATTCGCAATTAAGTATATATGTTAATTATTAATTTTAATAAAATACAAAATTAAAATTAAAGGTCAAATATAATTTTGAACATAAATATATTTATTCGTTATAAAACGTATACCCGTGATAGTATTTTTCTCGTATAATTATGAATCAGAGAGGACATATGTTGCACAAATTCTTGAAAAATTGTATCATTAATTAATTGAAAAACATAACGAATTGTCGCTGATCTGAACGGACAGACGTTGTTGATTGTGAAACGCCACAAACGTACTGGTTTCGTCTATGTCGTGAATTGATGGTACTACAGCAACGCGTTGACCACCAGACTTTCCACATCCAGCTGAACACAAATGGTGGAGAAGGTGCCCGGAGTT